AGGGAAGAATTTTTAGATGCGTAATTATGACTGTCGTTTCAACTGGCTTCTGGAACCCAGTTCAAGCCTCTGGCCCAATCAGAAAGGTACATTGTAGGCACCACAGGCCTATTGTATGGCAACAGAGTTTTTTCTCTTGATGGGCTTTAGCGCCTATCCTCTTACTCCGTAGGGGATACTGCAGTGCTCAGGAGCTTGAGCGCCCCAGGGGAAACCCCTTCCCTAAGTTGGCTTTAACAAAACCTTTGATTTACCTACGGTGCTGAGAGAGAAATGGAGCAGTATCTTACACCGGCAAATTCAGGCTTCCGCTTATCCATGGCCCGAAGGGAAAAGTGAATTCGTTTTGCCGACCTCATTTGCCCCAACCTGCCATTCTGTACCATACAGTAGCGGAAATTTTGCTTATTGCACCAGAGTCTGGTATATCCATAATGCAGATAACAAATCTTCCCAAACTATCGGCTGGCTATAAAGGGCCGAATTGCATTCGGAGCTCTGGGATTTTCGTCTTGCTCTCGCATTCTGCCAGTCCTGCGATTTCCCTTTTGATACCCACTTCCCCCCCTTCGCTCTTGCCACGTCTGTCGGTCTGGCTATCCATGTCCTCTCCGGAAGTGGTGGTCACTCTACCGACAGCCGGTAAACTCAGTCGACCGGTCACTGGTACAGCTGGAGACTGGTACCGACCCGACGGTTTGCGGCAGCAGAGTCTGCGAATAGCGGCAACTTTCCTTTGTAACATCAGCGCCGGCAAGTCGGCGGCCTCCCGGCTCGGTTCGTCCCCTCTGCAACAGAAGCGCCCTGACAGTCCGTCGGAACACGACGGCGCCAACTCAGAGCTCTCAAGTCGCCCGCCGCCCAGAACACTCTATTGCCTCTGCGAATGGCATAACGACATTTCAAATGGCAATTTGACGAATGAACCACCATCAAAAGCCCATTTCAGGCGGCAAAGCGTTTGCCCAATTTCGCCCACTCTTAACATATCGTTCTACTTTATACCCA